TTAAAATTTTGGGCGTAAAGGGCCAAACAATCACACAAGGAAATAGGCTTCCGATCAAATGGACCTGTCATAGATGAACAAATGATGACAGTCAGTGTCAAACAAGGTTCAAATTAAAATACAGAGTCCATTTCTCAAAATCCTCAACTGATAGTAAGAGCTGAAGTCGAAAACATTTAAAAGTCTTATATTGATTGATCGATCACGTACAAAAACTAACAAAAAAAAACCACGCATTAGCATTTTGTTACCATGAGGTGAACTTGTGTCTCTTATGATTTAGCTATTTTAATTTAATAGACATCTGCAAATTTAAAGTTAATGAAGGTAAAGTTTGTAATGAAGAGCAAAGATTCCGACGGGACGAGAGAAGTTTTGACAGTAATTGTATTTCTAGACATATTGCAGTGACATGTACCAAAGTACACCTGTCAACCTGCTCTGGAACTTACTTCTGTCAATCATTAACACTGAACAAAAATTCAACAAATGCATTTCCTGGGATTTTATACAAAAATATAATGAAAGTGAGAAGAAACAAAGAGATTTTCATTCCTACTTCAAGCAAAGTTGTTTCTAACCACTAAAATTTGCCCTGTGCTTTTATTTAGAAATTCATACTATAAAAAAGGGTATAAAGATGAAAAAAATCAGAATATCGGACTGTCCTAATTTGGTATCATCATTTGCAGAAAACATGCCTCTCTATGCAAAAACAAAAATCAAAAATAAAGACGTGTTCAAAAAAGTATTTTTTTTTTTAAAAAACGTCTCTCCTTGAACGTGTTCTATTGTTCAAAACTATTTTATAAATACCTGTGAAAGAATGCACAATTTACAGGTTTTGATTTTTTAACACTTGAATAACTGCACAAAAAATTAAGGCAATATGAGCTGCAACTTTGATGTCAGAAATTTTTGTTGCAAAATTGTAATTAACTACCGGGTATTTCAATGACAGAAAAAAGAACGTGTATAAACTTCTGTTGTTCATATTTGCGATGGAAGAACTATTTATAGGCTTTGATTGAGGCAAAATTACATTATTGTCGTCCTGTACAATATTGATTTCTTATATAATACTATATATATTTTATTGTACGGAATCCTTTGTTCTGAAACAATTTGATACGTTTTTCTGCCTAATTGATCAAAAAGGTTTAAATTACATACAAATTTACCATAATAACACATTTTAACAGCAAAATAAAATTCTTCAAAAATGCAGCTTATATTGCTTTAACTATTACTTCAGTCTATAATAACAATAACTAATCAATTTTAGAGGGTTAAAGTTGATAGAGAATCAAAGTACTCCAGAAAAATGTAGATTGCCTTAGCTACAATTTAATATATAATAGTGACTTTTGCATCAAAGCAATGTCTGATCAAATGTGATAGTAAGTTCCATAATCATTTCATATTTTACATTGTTCTCAATTTTTACCACTTGGCAGAAAGAACAACTGGAAACCATTAACAAATAAATGTATTGTTTTAAGATGTCACAAATATTCAGTTGTCATATATAGCAAATAGAAAACAATTTAAAAAGGCCAACGAGTCTTGATGTTCCCTCAAGTATCAAGCTTCTCTCAATCTTGATACGACCAACTAATCTCCACTAATACTACAAAACTGGTATCATATAAAGGAATAAATTTTGCAGTTTTAGTGAAAACTCTTTGTTCATATCATATTCATGAAACTTGTTCCTTGTTGATTAGGATTTTGAAATAAAGAGATACAACTAAGACCCACCCTGGGACTTCCGCTTAGAAAATAAGCTTTTTGGTAAAGAGCTTATTGCTTATCATAATCATTCAGTTTAACTGCTTGAAGATTTTTGAAGAAGGCATTAATTTTTACGGTTTTCGTCACGACCCTCAGGTCCACGGGAGGCAAAGACCATAAAATTCACAAATTTTGTTCCGCTTTACTAAAATTGGAGGAAAATGGTTCAACCGTTTCATAGAAGCTGAAAATGCTCAAAAAATTTACGCAAGACGGAATATACAAAAGGATGGATTGTAATATATAGGTCACTTGAGTAACTTCCAGTTTTCATATGCTTGAGGAAGTTGGGAACATGGATCATACTTGCACAAAAAGGTCATCAACCGGAGACACACACTTCCATTAATATATTATTAAAAAACATTGTGTAACAATGATGGAGATATATAAGCTTTATCTTTTAATGAAAAATTGATTGACTGATCTCATTTCCACAGTTGCTAGATTTTTATATGTGCATGATCCCCTAGACTTCGACTGCATTGAAATACTTGCTGGTACCGGATCTTAAAACTGTTAGAGACAATGTAACTTTTAATTTAAAAATATTTTGTTCTTTAGGCTGTGGTGAGGTGCTGGATTTTTTTTTATGAAATGTAAAACTCGTTATTCTTCATTTTTTCACTTACAATCTCTTGGCATATGACATTATTAAAACTAACGACTTGTTAACGCATGTGTCAAGTAAAAAGCAGCACCTGTCAAATGACTTCCTTTCCGCGTCAAAATAAAAAGGTTTTATCATGAACCTATTCAGTAGAAATGAAATTGATAAATCAACAAATCAGACCCCCTCCACACAGCTGACTTCACATTTAAAACTGTTAGAAGAGAGACAACTCTGTATACATTTGGAGACACCTAACAATTTTTTTTCCTCTACTGAAGACACTAAGAAATGAAAACATCTAGACGATAAAATAAGTAAAAATACGTTAATTGCCATCCTGCTACACAAAGATTAGTATTTGTATCACAGAAAATTCGGTATGTGTAACAAAATGAAGTCATTCTTTAACGAATGTCAAGATTTGTTTAGTACAGCATTATTTTTTTTTATACCTCTAATACAATTGAACTACAAAACCTTGCAAAATTTAAATATTATATAGTTCAAATCTTACATAGGTAATATTCATAAATATGTTGTCAATCGATTAAATCCTTTGTAGTTTAAATGAATCATTCATACTGATCATTACAGAAGGCTCACAGTGGGTGCGACAGGTCCACAGGGAGTGTTTACTCTTCTAAGGCACCTGATTCCACACCTTTGGGGTTTCCGGGGGTCTGTTTTCTCCCTGTTCATCACAGGATTTACGGATTGATCATCATTCCTCATCATCACTTTTTTTTTAGATATGCACATAGTGCTCATATATATATATACCGGTGTATCAGTGAATTTCAATTTCACGTGGAGACACAGTTTAAATTAATCTGATAGAATGATTTTTCTATCTTTGAATTAATTTCAGTCAAGTAATAGCTTTAAACTTTATATTCCTGTATACCACACAAAGATAATTTTTTTATTCACATATAAAAAACAAACAAACAAAATAAAAAAAAATATTGCCTTTTCAAATGTTTCCAATGAAATCTACTTAGACAAGATATAATTAAGTGTAAATTTCTTTATTAATAACTAAGACACCGTGCTCAATTCCATAAATAAAGCATATCCTTTTCTTTACAGCTCTGCTCTCACAAAAAAAAATCATCACAAAATCCTTCTGCTACAGTGATATGCGTATCATTTGCACTAATTCCTTCAAGTACATTGTACTAAGTACATGTATTCACCCTTCATTGTGTTAACCAAAACTTTAACAATGATAAATAATTATAATCTAAAATAACGACCATCATAATAAAAAAGCCATTCATTTTATGTAAAAACAAAATAATTCAATGTACAGTAGCTACTGTTTAAGTTTAACTGCACTTGTACAATCCAAAAAGAATTCTTAAAGATTTAATGGAAACATAACCCCGAATTCACATTTAATCCATGAAAGAAAAAAAAGCAGCTTATGCTAAATGTGTATGAAACAATATTGATGACAATAAACAATAAATTTCTTCTGCATTGTCTTCTAACCTGATACAAAATCCATTGAACATAATGAAAAATATAACATGAAAATAAAAACACAAAGGCACATCTTCTAAAACAGGTAACACAATATAAAAACGTACCTTCAAGTACATGTATGTGTAAATGTTTGAAACAAGAAAATTCCAACATCTTAGGAATATCAATTTTTTTCAAAATTTCATAAAAAAAAATCAGAATGAAGGAAAAATACATATGAAGTCACAACAAAGATGTCAGATTTTAAAATGACACAGAAAAGAAAATACAGCCTCAAGAAACCTTGGGACTGGTTACACATTACAAAGGGAGACAATCCTTTCTTTTTCTTTATACATCATAGTTTTCATACAACATAGTTTTTACTGTGATTTCAAGTTTAACACCTCCAATTCTTCAATATTTCCCAAATGACCAGTTTTAATTCATTAAAAACGGTCAACTTAGATAGTTTCAAACGTTTGATAAATAAAACATTCCAAAAATGTGAGAAGACATCATCTTCAAAAACATGCATTCATAAAAACAATTTTCAACACCAGCAAAACATAAGTTAACAGTTCATTAAACGCATTTATCAATGGCTATATATATATATATATATATATATATATATATATATATATATATATATATATATATATATATATATATGTAATTTCTACATAAAAAAGGGTCAAGAAAATAAAAATGAATCCAAATAAAATACATCTCTATAAAAAGTCTAAGTGAATACAATAGATACAATAACTTACATATATCCTATTTAGAACAAGAAAGCAGAACTTTAATGCATGTATTCTATGTAAATATAAGGTAATGACAAATATATAATAAACATATTAAAATGTGTTACTTTTTCCAGTATATTAATTTATATAAAGCATCTAAAAAAACTGAACATTGTAATTCATTGTTAGAAAGCTTAGAAATAGTAATTTCTGTCTATATTTAATGTAATTTATATATATATCTTTTTGAACAAAGTAATTTATACCTATGTTTTACATCATAGTACTTTATACAAATATATCAGAACAGGATATATGGTAAAATAATTACAAATATTACAGAATGAGACTAGTGTCAAAAAATAACACAAAATAATTGCAATGTGTCTGCTTATCAACGGTACACATGGTAAATATCATTTCAATATCATTTAAATCTTCAACAAAAAAATTAATAAACAATGTACATAATCATAACTTTGAGCTAAGAAAAGCATCTAGAATAATGAGTTTTAAAAAGAGTTAAAGTTGAAATTTAGAAATTAACTTGAATGGCAAATTTTCTAGCTCCTTCATGAATGTAAATTTTTTAAAAAAGTCTTTTTAAATTCCTTTTCAATCCTCTTTCTTATGCCAATTATTAAAAAAAAAAATACATATACAAACACACACAAAAGACAACCTATTTTTCTAAAACTACATATAAACTGCCTTAATTTGAACATACATGTACATTAATTTAATATATGCATATGTACATCTAATGATACAGTGCAAAATTACACAACAAATCTTCCATAGGCCTTGCACTTACTAACTATTACTAACATTTCTTAACAAGTTACAGGTATTCACAAATTTTACAGATCTTAAAACTTCTAAAGTGCTTTCACAAATTAAAAGACAATCATTCTTTCGTCCTAGCCTATCTCACAACAAATGAAGTAAAATATAGAACTGAATAATGGTCAATATTGCAACACTGCTTTATAGTCTTCTTACATCTCAACAAGATTAACAGTTTGTGATACTATACACCAGTATCAGATAATGAAGTAAAACTTGTTCTATATATAGAACTTTCCTCTCTGACTGGGTGGCGTTTCTCTCTCATCCTCCGCGGGGGGCCGGGTGGCAGCAATGGCCTCTGGACCTCGTTGTGGTTGGTTCCTCCCTCTGGCAGCCGTCCTGTTTTGGTCGGAGTTGGATGATCCTTCCTCCCTGATTGGGTCTAGATTGGAGGAACTGCTCTTTGTGATGTTGATGGAAGGGCGATTTGGGGAGGGTGAGTTATCCCTGAAACTGTTGTAATCCTCTGTGGGGTGGTACAGCTGTCGGTATTGGTGGTCATCTATACTTCCAAACAAGGAATTCTGGGAATAAAATAAAGCAATATACATATACTCATAGTTTACAAAAGCAACAATCCCAAACAGGAAAGTCTTGGAGCAAAAAAACATTTCAATTAAAGTGTTGCTAAATACAATTATGCCACAAATACTACACAATAAGAACCATTCATGTATTGCATCAAATATGCAAAAGCTATAGTATTTGGTGTTAATATTATCATCAATAATTTTAATCAACAATTTAATTGTTTTGAATAGTAAGTGGTGAAATGCAAAATTCGTAGAAAGCCTGTATCTTATGATTTCTAAACAGAGTACAAGTTCCTTATGTCACTTGCCAGGGCAAACACCCTTTCAATTTGATCAAGTAAAGATATTTTTGATGTACTATATGTATTAATTGCTGTAATATTATCTACCCCATCATCACTGAGAGCTGGTACTAAATCATCAGGTTCATTTACAACTGGGGTGGCTTGAAACACAAACAACATGACCCAGATTGGCAGCAAAAGTTTGAGAACCTACAACATAACAGAATTGTAAACTAATGAATAAAATTACCATTTCATTTGTAACTCAATCAACATAAAGCAAACAACAAGCCCTCTTATAACAAGCATCAACTTGTCAAATAAAATGGACTGAATATACCTCTATACAAGAATTTTTAATTTTCATTGCAATTTCTTTTGGTTTATTTGCAAAATTTTTACAAAGTAAACTCATATTCAAAATGCCTAACCACTTTACAGACTTTTCTTTGCTTTTTTTTTCTCTTTCTCTCCATACATACCATGAATACCAGAAAAACAGATGAAAAGAGTTCTTCTTTCCCACCCTGAAAGTTAAGGATATACATATACTGCAGTGATTTCACATGAACATAAAGCTACATACACCTCTACAGTGTGCCCAAAAAGACTATAAACATGAACCAAATTTCTGATTGGACATTTTAGCCAAGTTCACAATCTTTTGCAATTTATTCAGGTAGGATTCTTCTGCTTTCTCTCTATATACGAACCACTCATTAGATATTTATGAATTCTATTAATTTGTGAATTCAGAGATCTTTTTTTTTTTCTTTAACACAAATTATACTCACAAATATATTTCCACATCCATTTGATTCATTTCCAACTGTAATAAACATTAATAGTATAGGTATTACTGATAAATGAAAAAAGATTCTTTATAATTATTAACTTACGAGTAAATGATGCTATTTTGGAAATATACTAACTTATCTGAAGTGTTAGGTCATACATGAATCCAATAAAGGCTGAGATTTCAAATACAATGATGATGCTGAGAAAAAAAAAAGAGTATAGCACATTCAGTATATTCAAACTAACATCACAATGACATATAGGACTAACAAACAGTATTAATTTATAAGTAATTTCTATTTTATTTTGTTTTTCCATTTGATTCTATTTAGATCTTTGAGAATGTAATGGTCAAGGATAACTAATCTTCCTAGACCTGATAAAAAAATTGTTTTTTCTTCAATCTTCTCACTTTTTATAACAGTTCATACTACTAGTATTTTATTAATTCTGTTCATATGTATTTTATTAATTTTGTTACTATATCTCCCACTAACGGACTGAAGATAAAAAGACACTGTGTTCGCTGTACCTACCACCAGAGGTCTCTCTTCTGTGACCACCTGACGGAATCAAGGGTGCTGATCTCATTAAGGCGACGAGTGATGTAGAAACCAGCAACCATAAATAGCTGGACGGTGGCAAACTCTGCTCCAGATAGCTCCAACCAGTAGGGCTCTGAAAGTTAAACAGAAAACATTACCATGAATTTCAAAGGGAAAAAAAATCCTGCAGAAAAAGCAATAATAGAAGACATTTATCAAAGACAATAAGTAAATAACATTTCAGTGGCAGTCTTATATAAAGGGAACCAAATTTTGTGAGGATAAAAGCATGTCTCAAATTTAAGAGTCTGAGGTGAAAATTTAATCCTGATGCAGCTTATTTTAAAGTTCTACATGTATAGCTCTTTTTTGTTTGATACTTACGTAAGCATTCTGTAATGGCAGGTTCTACATTGACTATTCCCAGTGTGGCTATGACAGTGAAGTAAACGCACACCAAAATCAGAAAGGGAATCAAGAACCTAAAAATAATAAATCACTCATCTTCAATACTGATAAAAGTCTTACATTGAAATACACTTAGGAATAGTTTTATCAGAACTGTTTGAATCTTCTTTAGTGACAGTTTAGACTTTTTTTTTTTTTTTTTTTTTTTTTTTTTTTTTTTTTGCATTAATTGTGTAATTATATTTTTGAAATTACACAAACAATAAAGCTGTTATATGTATATCATGAAACAGACAGTGATAAGCTATTGCATTTCTTGCATTGGCCGGTAGTCTAGGAATACAGTCAAACTTTGTTATCTCAAACTTTATGGGACCAAGAAAAACCTTCAAAATATCCGAGGATTCAAGATATTCAGGGTAAAATACTTAAAGAATATTAAGTGGTGGGGACTTCCAAATCACTTTAACATATCCATGGTATTTGAGATATCGGTGTTCAAGATTGCGAAGATCAACTGTTTATTCATAAGATTTAACAAGCAATCACCATTTAGTGAGTCTTTCTCTTCTGAGAGCTCTGGTGGCCAGTGTCCAGTAGAAGTGACACATGACCAAGAACTGGATCAGCTTCAAGTACTGTAGAACAAAGTCCATCTGGGCATACTGGACCAAAACCCAGTGTACACCTCTAAATTAGAATTCAGAACATTTTTTATAAAAATATTGAACTTCATATTTCAGACGAAATTCTTAATATATGACTGGATCATCATATCTCAACCCCTCAAATATCTATAATATTTAATACAAGAACTCTAAGTTTGGAATATTGCAAGGGAAATTTTTGTTTAGCAATCTTTTTCCAAGGGTATTGTTTTTGCAAAATAGTCGAAAGTGACTGATGTTATATATAGATTAGGTAATTAAGATGCCAAGAGATACAAGTGAAGTTGTCCAAACTCTAAAAAAAAAATAAAATACGATTACATGTATATATAAAGATATCTTATTCTCAATAGAACCCAACATCTTACATATACAGAGATTGAGAATCAATTCTGCACATCTTGAAAAAAAGTACCAATTGGGGTTATTGGTTGTAAGCTTTAATTTTAATGATTCAGTACAGCCAAGTTAATTATTAGTTGCAATCTATCATTGACTTACGCAATAGTGCATTCCAGTGAAGCAGTGTAGAAGATAACATACTGGTGCCATGCTGGGTGGTGCATCAAGTGGAGTCGCACCACCTTAAAAATACACACTATCCCTGTAACAACTGCTAAGAAAGTCAAAATGGAGCTCCTAAAAAAAGGGGGAAAAAAACATTATAACAAAATTTTATTTGCAGTAATTTCAGCATGCTCTTCAGATCTGCTCGTTGTCTTATTCTTTGACAATCTCTTATTTATCAGAGCACTTTGATGTACAAAATCAGTTAGCTTACAAAATTCAGATATTTGCTTCATGAGATTTATATATATAGGACCCTGCATTTCTTCAACTTCCATTAATAATCTTAATAGAAAAAAATTATGACTGCATGCTTCTCTCTATAAAACATGGGCTGACTGATGTTCTGAATTTTTTTTAAAATATGACGGTGAATGAAATGTATTAAATATACACATGTATATTTATAGAAGACTAACTTATGAAATACATAAGAAGCAAATATATTTCCTAACCAAGTTAATGGTCTTTGAAATGGTTATAGACAGTTTATGCATTTCATTTGGTTTATATAAACTGTCTCAAATCATATGCTGTACTCCTAAATACTTTAACTATGTGCACCCATTCATTACATGTATAATACAACTTAAAAAATGTGAAAAATATGAAACAATATCACAGACTATCTTATGCTGACAAGCGTAAGGGTAAACATTACTTGATTCCAAAAGTTTTTGAAAAAAACCCATACCATTAACAAAATCTATGTATAGGTACATGCATAATGACATCATTGAATTTCAAGTAGAAGTTTTGAATTTTTAATAGAATATATACCCACCTTATGCATGCCACTGTGTTGAAATTAATCAAACAACCAGCCATTATGAAGTCTTTACTTGGGGTAGTACTGTTGGACATAGAGGAGTTTCCTTCTTTTCCCAACATGGTTGTTCTTTGATGTAATACTGTCTGCAAAAAAAATAGAACTAAGAGTAAGATAAAATCAATTTCTATATGTTCCATTAAATGAAGTGTCATGTAAGATGATTTAGATCACTATATAATTGAATAATATAGGTATATCATGGATTTATAAATAAGTATGTACATCAACAACTCATTCCTATTTGCTACTAGCACTATCTTCTGATAAAACATTGTGTTATAACACTGCATAACATGTAATAAGTTTAGGTTATAATATATCACATGCCCATTTGGCATTATTCATATCAGTCTTATCACATGCCTGTTTGGCCATTTCCATCCTCATTTAAATTCTGCATGTTGCTTAATTACATGCTGCAATTTAGTATTTGATATTTTAAACAGGAAAGAAGAAGATGGATAAACCAGAGTAAGACTCCAAGGATTCAAAACCAAATCCCTTAAACTCCAGACAAGTGTTCTACTACCTGGCCACAGGCGATCGGACCTGCATGAATGCCACATTCCTCCCTCCCTAACTGTCCACACCCTCAAAGACAACAACCTAAACTCTTGACTTTCCTGACAGAACTTTTACTAGCTGTCACTTCCAGGGCATAGCACAGCATCAAATGTAACAAGACAGGAGGAAATGTGATGAACCAGACCAGAATTCAAACCAGGATCCCCTCTGAACTTTAGAAAGGTGGTCTACCAACTGAGCTATCTGGCAGCAAGCAATGAAATCTGTCTGACTGCTACACTTGCAATGATTTAGGTAACTATGTATTGGTTTGGGTCGTGCATATCTGCCTGGATAGGTCAGTCGGTAGAGCACCTGACCAGTGATGCAGGGGTCCCGGTCCAGCCGTACATTTTCTGCACAATTTGGTGATGTTGACCACCCCTGGACTTGCAGCCAGGGGCAATAAGAACTTGGGTTTTGTCTTCGAGGGCAAAGACAATTTAAGGAGTGAGGAATGTAATGGTTTGGGTCGCAGATATCGGCCTGGATAGCTCAGTCGGTAGAGCACCTGACTAGTGATGCAGGGATCCCTGGTTTGATTCCTGGTCCAGCCAAACATTTTCTCCTTTCCTGTTACAGGTTCATACAAAAATCATATGCTATTTTTCATATCAGCCCTTAATCATGCTGGCTGATATAAATTGACCTAATTTCATCAGATTTAAAAAACTGAACGTGATAATCTTTACATGTATCTATTTAAATTGCATATTATTATGCTTCCTGTCAGTTTGTCTCTATATTATCAATACCCAACTATTTTCACATAGTGTTCTAAGGATTTATATAGCGTAAGCATACTATGCCAAAATAGTTCACGGCTTCTTCTTCTGAAGAAAATCTGACATCACCCATGCCGGGGATCGAACTCATGACCCCCAAGATTGTCAGCCAAACGCGTACCAATTACACCACAGATGCTGTTATATAGTACAATCTATTTTAATGTATATAAACAAGGTTTCATAAATTTGACACTTTTAAAAAGAAAACATAAACAAAATATTTTTTCTAAATATAGTTTCATGTAACTTTTCCCCCCCTTTACTCAACTAATATTCTTTGAAACTATCTGTACATTATATTTAACTGCATGAAACATTATCTGCATAATAATAACAATAGTGTTGTGTTTTGCATGTACTATGCTTTAATAGTAGTCAGGGTTTGACACTAGTGCACTCGCCTCTGGCTCGTGCACCATATTGTGTCAAACCCTGACTGCTATTTAGGCATAGTACACGCAAAACACAACACCACTGTATTATATAGTTATTGTGTTTTCTTCAATTAAAAGAGAAAAACTTATTTTTGTACACCCTCCTCCCTGTAAACTATCTAATCACATCACTTAATTAACACATGCACTGTAGCACTTTGCAGGTACACGTATATGAATACAAAAAATTTAAGCCAGTTGCTTAATAAAATTTCAACGAAATTACCTGGATAAAATGAAAGTTGGAAAAAATTATGTAAACATCCGGTCAATATTGTTTACTCCTGATGCGAGTCTCATTTCGAAAATAACGTCATGAGCCTGTTTGAAATATTGTTCTACATAGTCATACGAAGGGATCTTTGCGTCTGTATTGTTTCTGTACTTGTAAAATCTAACGATAAACAAGGTCCCTGAAACAAAACCAAAATTCTGTTGCTGTGCTCAATGTCATTCTCGATACATTATTTTCCGGAAGTGAACTAGAGTTATGCTACTTAGCACTTTCTTTATATAGGTGGCGCTATGGAATTGGGAGCGGATCTTGAGTAAAGAAAAGGAATGTAGGCATAATATATTCATGATATAGAGATTTCTATAAAAAGGGGAAAAAAAAGATTGACGAGCTAAAACACTTAAGAACAAAAATTAAGAAATAATGTTTTATACCACCTTCTGAAAAGAAATATATGTAAATCGTTCATTGATATTGCTGGTGTCCCCGGTTAATCAGGACTTTATTAAGACCCTAACACCCTCAACCTCCCATAAAATTTGAAGTTCGGTGAATTCTCTTCTTCTTCTTTTTTTAGGGGTAGGGGGGTTAGCAAAAGTTTTTTTTCAGGTAAGTTGTCATTTTCACCCATTATAATATAATGTCTCCATTCTTTTCCCCGCCATGCCCTTATTTCCCAGCACATTGAATTTAGTATTTTAGTTTTATAATGGAAACATGACTTTTTCTTTGTGCTGGAGAGGACAGATTGAGTTGGAATAATATTAGTTATGTCGAAATGAATTGATCGTGTCCAATAACATAAAAATGGGACTTATTCAAGTTTCTTGTAAAACTAAATTTCAAGCGGGTTGTTTCACTGATCAATGACAATTGTGCTTGGATGATGCAGGGAAAGAATACAAAGAACATGTAGGGAGTTGCTGTGGAGATAATTTGAATAGTGACACTAGATCATTAGAATCTTTTTCGATTTTTAAATTTAATTATGCATAATTTTTACAATTTAAATTTTATTTCGTGGCTTAAATTGATGTCCCTAAACAGTATCATTTGAAGGTCCAATTAATGTTATTAAGAGTACTAAGCAATTTCGTCTAGCTTTCAGGTCACTCAGGTGACCTATTGCTATCTGATTTTTTTCCTTTGTCGTTCGTCCTCCGTCGGTCGTAAACTTTTGAACATTTTCAGCTTCTTCTGTGGAACCACTGAACCAATTTCGACCAATTTTGGCAAATAGCATCTTTGGGTGAAGGGGAAAAAATTTGAAATTCATGGCCCCTGCACCCCTGGGGCCTGAGGGGTGGGGCTAAAACCATCAAAATTAGTACAATCTTTAAAATCTTCTTCTTTACTCCTGAACACCAAGCAGGCAAACTGTTGGCATTGAGCCCTCTATCTAAATTGTGAAATTCATGTCCCCAGGGTCAGGGGTTCTGGTGCTAGGGCGGGGCTCTGTTGAATATACATATGTATAGTGAAAATGCATTATTTCTTTAAAAAAAACTTCTCCTTTGCTCCTGAGTATTAAACAAATGAACTAAATGCATCGTTGTGATGAGCAAGGGCACCTCTTCCAAAATTGTGAATTTCATGGCCCCTGGGTCAGGGGTTCTGGTGTTAGTGTGGGGCTTTAATGATTATATGTTGAAAATGCATTAATTCTTTGAAAATCTCCTCTGCCACCGACGCAGAAAAAATTATAATTTGGCCTGACTGACACAAAATTGGTCGGCCGATGAAAAAAGAGATAAAAATCGGGCAAGACAACGGCGATGAACTGCCGACTGTCGCCCAAAGAATCATATTTTTGCCTAAAAAACCGTCGGCCTGACTGGGGTTTTTAAAGTTTTTGGAGCATATTTCTTTTCAAGTACTTCTATGCACTATACTAACAAGAGATGCAAGGAGGATGCTTCTAGTATGTTTCATTGTACCAGTCAAGGTTTCAGATGCTGCAATTCCAGCTAAAGAATGACCAGGTTAATTTTTTTGGAGCAGGTTAACGTTTTTGGAGCAGGTCTCATTTCCAAATATCTATAAGCCCTATATTAAACAAACTTGCAGGGATGATACATCTAAGGATGTACACTACTGAACTTACTTCAGATGCTGAATCTGACTTGCATTTTCGGGATGAGTGACCAGGTTAAAGTTTTTGGAGCAGGTCTCATTTCCAAGTAACTATAAGTCCTATATTGACCAAATTTGCATGTTTGATACATCTAAGATTGCACACTACTGAACTTGCTACAGATGCTGGATCTGACCTATATTTTCCAGATGAGTGACCAGGTTAAAGATTTTCGAGTAGATCGCATTTTCAAAGTAACTACTGTAAAGCAACTTTTATTCGCGTGCGAGAAATATTTGCGAGTTTCGCGGCCTACTTTTACTTGCGAATATTAATCACCACGACCTTTTTATTTAGCTTTGTATTTGTAGAGAATGTTTCCTCAATCGTAAAAAATTAATCGTCGCGGATTTATTTCAAATTGACGAATCGCGAATAAAAGATGACGCGATTAATAGTTGGTTTACAGTATAAACCCTATGTTAACCAAACTTGCAGGGAAGATACATCCAACGATGCACACTACTGGACTCGCTTCGGATGCTGGATCTGACCTACATTTTCCAGATGAGTGACCGGGTTAAAGTTTTTGAAGCAGGTCTATTACCAAGAAACTTTAAGGGCTATCTGAACCAATCTTGCATGGATGATGCATCACAGGATGAACACTCTCAAACTTGCTTCAGATGCTGGATTTGACTTACATTTTCTGGATGAGTGACTAGTTTTAAGTTTTTATTAAGTCGATTCCCAAGTAACTGCAAGCCCTATCAGATCAAATTTACATAAATGTTACATCTAGGGATGCACACTACTAGATTATTAGTTTAGTGTGGGACTTTGCCTTACTTAAAGACAGCATTGGTTGAGGTCATCTCTGTAATCTATGATTACCTATGTTTGAAATTTTTGAGCAACATAGCTTCATCTTTCAGTTAATTTTGCTTTATACCTCTATGGACCCTTTACAGTGTTGTATTATATAACGTGACCGTTAAGACCCTTGGGCCTCTTGTTTTTTTCGCTCCTTTCAAGAGTGACAAATAAATAAAAAAGCATGATGAAACGGCTAATCTTAATTAGACTGAGGTCTAATATTCCTTTGTTAATACTAGTACTTATGAATTACCAACTTTTATTCCATCATGATATTTTCTTTTACAATATACAAAGTAACGTTCGGTATTTTCATTAACGGATCCACAAGGACATTGTTTTGTCTGAAAGTCTAAGCTTGAAAAAGGTTTGTTCGCTTTAAGGAGACTGACATTGAGTTTAACTCTTTTTTGTGTAGAAGCAAATTTTCCATTCCTGTTTCAAACTGTAAAGGGTTCAGTACGAGTAGAGTACAATCAGTACAGTGTATATTGATCTAGGCCTATTTTAATACGCCCAGCCTCTGCTCTGAAGTTTATTAAGTCTTTCACAATCAGCTGTGGAATCGATATCCTATACATACTCAGATAGCATATTGTAGGAGGCTACATTGTAACTCATATAATTAAAAAGGCACTCAAGATTCAATTACAGTTTTAGATTAAGGAGAACTGCAAATTCTTTGAAACCCTTGTTTTTGTATGATATTGTCAGGATGATTTGTATGGCATTCAAAAGTCACAAAAAATTAGCTAAACATTGTTTTTTAGTTGAAAAAATATAGTTTTACCGGTGAAAACAATGTTAATAAATCATTAGTTATTGTAAATATACATTTCTTAAACTACAGTTTTCAACTAAAAAGCATAGTTTAACAACTGTTAAACTATGTTTCGCTCATTTTTTTTTTATTTTGCGAGTCATACTTTTGTCCTTTGTTCAAGGTGACAGTGGCTATGAGTTTGTTTGTATATTGTTTAACGTCCCTCTCGAGAATTTTTCACTCATATAGAGACGCCACCACTTGCCGGTGGAGAGCTGCAAATTTTGTCCTATACTCGGAACTTACGGCCATTGAGCAGTGAGGGATCTTTTTCGTGCCAGCACCTACTGCGACACGGGACCTCGGTTTATACGATCTCATCCGAAGGACCGGTCTCCACGTCCCACAGTGGGATTCAAACCCGCGACGTAAGGATCAACTCCTTACTCCGCGACTCTAAGAGCAGACGCTCTAACCACTGCGCCACGCGGGCGACGTGGCTACGAGTGATTTGCTGATTGATTTGGAATGATTTGCTGATTAGAAATAAGATGTTAGTAGTGTACGTCATTTTCATTAGAAATTGAATTTCACAGACAAATTTTGGTTTCGTCTCTTTCGGATATATATATATATATATATATATATATATATATATATATATATATATATATATATATATATATATATATATATCAGGCTTCGGGCGAATTACATTGTAAAGTAATGCATTACATTACCATTACTTCAAGAACTTGGGCATTAAATTACCATTACCATTACTCTAATTCCTTAAAGTAATGCATTAAATTACCACTACTTTAGTAAAGTAATGCATTACCCTTACCATTACTTTAGGTTATTTTTTAATAGAAATACAAAACTTTGCAACTATTTTCATAAGCATGCATCCAACCCCTTCAAAACAAAACATGACGAATGATAATTCAAATTTGTTTTAAAATACTTGTATTTATTACACTGTAAATAGCTTACATATCTTTTATTATTAATAGGAAGTTCAAACTATTCAATTGTTAGTAGAATAAACTTGTATACAATATGCACTTTTTGAGTAACTATTTGATGTCATAGAGCAGTTTAACTTTTGGTGCACTTTAACCCCTGCCCAAAACTATCTTATAATAAAGCATAGATTATTTGGATCTAGAACCTTATGAAAAAAAAATAAATGCATTGACAAACTTGTTAAAAGGGTTGGACAGTATACATATACATTTTGCTCTGCTAAGGGTGAAATGTCTGCATGTCTTCTATTTCTTTTGGTACAATGGATTTGTCATGGTCAGCTCAAGCTAGACCAGCTCAATTAATGTTTTATAAACACAGCCAGGAGAAAGGGACTTGTAATTTGGAGCACTTTTCAAAACAAGGCATTGTCTTAATTGTTACATAACCCCAGAGGCATAGTGTGTTTTGATGACATTCTAGCTATTCAAAAGGTGGCAATGATCAGTTTACAGTGTACATTAATTAGTGTACCTCATACCGGAATAATTT